CACACACACACACACTTACTCCCAACGAGAGAGGTGGTAGAGAAAAGAGGATTTACAACAAAAACTCCATTAAAAAGTCCGTCCCAACGACGAGTGCTCTTTGTTTTCCCGAGCACCAAGCAAAAACACTCTCGATCCTCCTGCCCGTCATGATATCTCCATTCCTGACCGACGCCCCGGACTCGAACCCACGACCACCGGACGCTAAATCGCCGTAATGTAAGTTCTCCGTTACAGTTTATACAAGTACGGTCTTACGACGACACTTTCACCCGGACCATACGTTCCTCTTTGCGGTCTGACCAAAGAGGTTATATCACTTCTGTCGTACGCTGACAAAACGCCTTTCTCCGATTCACAGCAGTTCCGAGAAATCAGCTTTTTTCTCGTTTTTCTTTAATATTTAAACTATTTTGCAAAGTACATCAACATTTGATCTCTCGCCCTGAAAAGAAATGTCATTCCCCGTGCTCGACTGATAATATTATACGAGCGTAAGGAAATCGAAAATCGCAGATTTCTCGAAACTGATGTTAAAAAAAAAAGAAAAAGAAAAAGGTGTTTTGTCAGAGCACGTCAGAGTTGCTGTAGTAAGGTCCTTGGGTATGACCGTTCAGCGACCAGAAGGTTTGTTGTTTGTTCCCGTAACCTCACTCTGGGTCCGATCGTGGGGGTAGGTTATTGAACCCTGGCCACCCATATTATCCCGCCCCGACCCCCGCCCCCCTCCCCTCCCCATATAAGGTTGTTGCTGTTGTTGTTGCTGTTGCGGTTGTGTAGCTTACAGGGACACGAAGCACGATAATGGACTTATTTCCCGAGGTACAGATTAGGATAATAATATGGTCATGTATTGAAAAGAATAAGCAATTGCCATTGTTGTCGTTGTTGTTGTTGTTGCTGTTGTTGTTGTTGTTGCTGTTGCTGCTGCTGCTGTTGTTGTTGTTGTTGTTGTTGTTGTTGTTGTTGTTGTTGCGGTGGTGTAGCTTACACTTACAGGGACACAAAGCACGATAACGGTCTCATTTCCCTGGGTAAAGATTTGGATAATACCAATATTATATTGAAAAGAATAAGCAATTGTCATTGTCATTGTTGTTGTTGTTGTTGTTGTTGTCGTTGTCGTTGTTGCTGTTGCGGTGGTGTAGCTTACATGGACACGAAGCACTATCACGGACTCATTTCCCTGGGTACAGATTAGGATAATAGTCATATTGAAAAGAATACGCTATAATGATGTTGTTGTTGTTGTCGTCGTCGTCATCGTCGTCGTTGTTGTTGTTGTTGTTGTTGTTGTTGTTGTTGTTGCTGATGTTATTGGTGGGTTTTTTGAGGCGTACAATACTGTAAGTAACCACAATAACCGCCACATTTCGCCGAAGGCAGATAACGACTATTTTTTCGCCGCAGATTACATCATAACTTATAAGGCAAGCTTCGACCCAGTCTATCAGGCCCAATCTGGGCCCAGAGGTATACGCTGCCCAAACAGAAAAACCGAGATACGCCATACGAATTCTCCCCACATTGGAATCGAACTCAGGTCTTCTGTGTGCGACGGCTAAGCGCCAAGTCGCGACACCACAGTCGCCGGTAAGGGAGGGAGAAAGAGAGAGAGAGAGAGAGAGAGAGAGAGAGAGAGAGAGAGATAGAGAGAGAGAGAGAGAGAGATCGAACAGGAAAAGAATAACTAGTCGTCGCTGTTCGATTTTTGTTGTTGTTGTTGTTGTTGTTGTTGTTGCTGTTGCTGTTATTGCAGCTGCTGTTGCGTCGTATCTGTCACTGTAAGTAAACACAATGACAACTATATTTCGCTAAGAAAAGGTTAAAACAAAAGTAACCCTGGAATGAAATAAAACTGTATCTCTCGCAGAACGTAGCGGACACATACGACCGATTGGCAGCGGAGACCACCATACACAATTCAAAAACACGAGCTTGCGTATAATTTCATAATATGCATTATTTTGTTGTTGTGTTTTAGTAAGAGTTTTACAGCACTTGCAACACAATAACGTCAATTAAGTGCGGAAAATTAGCGGTATTACAAGTGAGTAACAAACGCAAAAAAGAGGAGAGATAAGGACGATAGAGAATGAGAGAAAAAAACTCTCAAACCACACCAGAGCATCCGCCAACCATACCAGAGCACCCACCAGCCAACCACCCGCCAACCGAAACTTTTTCAGCCGGAGCAGACTGTTTACTGCCGGTGTCTGTGGTGTAGCGATTGGGCGTTTCACTGTCGCAATCAGGAGACCCAAGTTCGATTCCCGAATTGGGAGAATTTTTTTTTCTCCTCGTGGGGCGGGCCACATGTGCGTCATGTCATTGTGAAGCCATTCGCGAACGACACTTTCAATTCATTTTAAGAAAGGGGGATCAGGGATTGAATTTACTTTCACCAAGAGCACCGTATTGTTATTCACCGCTGTACTAGACAACCTACGTGCGTAATAATTATCATAATTATACCGAAGGGCTCGCATTACGCTTTGCTTAACTGGCTTCTACAAACGTACATGTATTTGCATTTGGTTATGACACGCCATATTCTTCTAGTAGTCTAATGAAGTGGCCGCCAGTGGACAGATGACGTCAAACGAAATCGAGACGAGACAGCGCAGGGCGGGGCTTCCGTAACCAGGGACACGCCCATACACAAAAAAC